ACTAGTGTTGGAGATTGTTGCAAGAAAATTAGGAGTGGCAAAACCAAGACGTGGCATCAGTGCTTGAAGTCACTAACTTCTGGTATGGGCCATATTGGTAGATGCAGACTGCTTGTTTGGGGTCCGCGTGACTATCGTAACCAGTGGATGGAGATTCTGGGTGATTTGGCTCAGAATCGATCACAATGGCGTAGGTGTATATGTGGTGTAGGCTACTTATATTCACACAAGTAGCATATAACGGTGATCAGCCATAGAATGTGTTTTAGTAGAAGGTCGATGAGGAAAGAATGGAACGGAATGCAATTGATATGAAAATGCATGAATAATGAAATCTGAGATAATGGATTGATGTTTGCAACCAGAACAGTCAAGTTTGAGATGATGGGTTGATATTTTGTAAATTAAGGATTTACTATTTACATGTGAGGGCTTGTCTTGTGACGCAGTTGGATGCTTTCCTGCGTTCACAGATTTCATTGAGATGCTCTGTAATTTCGTGTCAAGTACATTCATTTGTCTCATTAGTATTTTGTTCGCTACATTTGCACACTCTGTCTTCCCTTAAAGTGCGAGGTTAAAATTGCTTTATGTCTTCCTCTCTACCAGCTAATCCTTTCTTCCTGTATTATATCTCGTTATAGACAATCTTTCTTTTATATATTCCTATCATTGAGGCAACTACTTCTATAATATTCGGTGTTCATCTTGTTGTGCTAATGAGATGTGACAACTTGGACCGATGCATATGTGTACCTGGTTTTACATTGTATTTGACCTTCAAGATTTAAGCTAATTTCGATTGCTACTCAGAATAAGTATTCAATGAAAGTTTTATTATTAAGGTTAGACTTGGTAACTTCAAATTAATTAAGTATTGGGTAGAACTTTTAATCATAAAATAATAATGATACATCTGTAATATTCTAATGAGTAGAAACTAGATTTTCTGACCTTACATAATCTAGTGAAAGCCACTTCTTCAGAGTAAACAAATTACCGGAATAAACTAACAGTTAGTTAAACACATAAACATTAGTACAAGAATCTACCAAATAGATATGCTCCACATAAATCATTCGATGTGTGTGAGGGTTAGGATACTGCCCGATTTCTCAAATAGAAGCAGGAAAATTTAAATAGAACAGAAGAATAGGTTGTTCCTCTAATTGCTGTTTCTACTCATTATGACATTACAAATATATCATCATTTTACTATATTCTATAAAAATTTGATCATAGTGCATATTTATTCTAGAGTTTTAGTGGAGGTTTCAAGCCATAAGACTGAAATAATGTAAGTCATGCTAATTAGGATCTGAACCGTCCGGAAGTTAAATATGTGTATCCAATAAGATTAGATTAAATTTATTCTTACCCTTTTTGATAAACACCGATTGCACTAAAAGGTGTCATTGCAATGCTACCCAAACAAGCCGCAACCAAATGATAATGAAACTTTTTCAAACCATCGGGTAAAATAGAACTTATCTTCGTTAACCGTGAAATGTTCTTAGTGTGTAACCACAAGCCTAGCAAACCTGAAATAGATAACACAAACTGATCAACAGTTGCGATCATTTTTAACTAACCTTCTCAATATCCTTCATCAATTCGAAACTCGTTTAGCCAACTTTACATCCATTAGATTTCCAATGTTGACTAACTGTATATGGATAAAGCTTCTTATGGACTTCTCTGTCTTTTATTTAACCATGTATCGCGATGTCAAAAATAGGATTTGTTTAGTGCACTGTTGGTTTGAAATTAGAGTGGATTCACCGTATCCACGAAGTCGGTTAAAAAGCCGGACATTCGCTTTTCGTCTTCTCAATTTCGTAAACAACACCCACACTGCAAGGAAGCAGTGAGTAGGACTTCCCTGTAGATGGCTGCATACGCGTGGCCATGTGAGAGCATTTCGAGAGGAAGAGCTAACTCTCCGCACCCTCGACCATACCAGGGCATTTGGGGGCAGGTGAACTTAAACTGCCAAATACATATAACTGTAGTAAAAATATTCATACCACCGTAATTTAAATTAATGTTCATCATAGATTCGGATATTAAATAATATTCTTATTTATTTAAAAAATATTCGTAGTTACTACTTATTGGTTTTAACAGCTTTAATTCAATTCGGTAGCCCCTTTCGGTGATGATTTCAGACTGATGATTATTTCGGAATGTTTAAGAATTACTCTTTGCCACGATACCAATAATTAGTTCTTGATTTCAAATAGATTAAGGCTATGAGATTTGCTCCAAACTAATATGAAAAGAACGAAGACCACCATTATGACAAACTAAGAATTGACAATCGATTGATCACTGGGTGGTGATCAATGTCATGTGTGTCAAACACTTCTTAGTGCAGATCGAATCCCATCGATCAAGTTGCAATATGGCCACTAGTCTAGGTGACTCGACATTACCATTGAGCTATCCGGACCGCAACCGTGACACGGGATCGAATACGTCAGGGAGCACCAGTTCCCTCAAGATTACAGGTACACCTTGCTGATGAGTGCCAAATAGCACGAAACACGGGTTCAGGGTTTCCTGTTGACTACTTCCAACCACCACTCTATCTCAAGCTAAGAATATTAACAATAACAGAGTGTATTTCAATACGATCGGAGTTTAAGGATTCCGATACTAAAAGAAACAATATTTGCATGATACCAAGTATTAACCAGGTAATCTTAAATTAGTGTTTGTAATGTCCTAGTTTGAATCAACAGTCAAATTCTTCTTGTTTCCACTGCGAATTAACGATCATCTATCCAAATTTATTTTATGAATACAATTATGGAAATAAGATTTTATCAAAAAATTTACTTACCAGTTAAGAGGAAAGCAAATCCAAGTTGATATGTATTGTCATTCATGAGTACCGAATGTTACCATGTAAAATAGGAGTTTAATTTGTAGTCTAATTTATTGTGACCCTTTAGACTCATTAGGTCAATCGATATGGTTTACATATTTCAAATATGATTGGTCAAAATGTCATGTAGTGAGAGGGGGGGAATGAAACAAAAGATTAAAAACATGAAGTTCTCCTCAGTTTAGTGGTTGGTAGTTTGATTATAAAACAAATTTTATCTGAATAATCATTAAAACCGATAGGCTATACAACTGTTGTTTCATACGATTTAAAGGTTTTCTGATAGTGAACACCAACAACCTAACAGGCAATGAAACAGAATCATTTTTGTAGTTTGAATTAAACATCATACGACTTAACGATTAAGTTAGAATTCAATGGTTGTAAATCGTGATCTTTGTTCACTGTCATTGACGGCTATCCGTTTACATTGAATAAATAATATAAATAAAGAGTTCACTCACTAATATCTGGCCACTAATCCTGTTAACGATAACGGGAAATAAGGACTTGAATACGATTAATGTTGAAGATGAGTTTATTTCATAAGGGTAGTTTATGAAAATAAGTAAATGGGTGCAGTTATTCGTGGAATTGGTCTCCCTCTGGCCAAAAATGCTTAATTATGTGTAACTCAGTTTTTATAGTTGATAAACAATAACTAAATATGTCGACACACAGACAGTCTAACACAGATATTGAAAAAAAATTATACCAAAGGATACATGGGTAAGAGGTGATAACTGTACGACAATGAGTGAAATATTTTTCAATGTACTATGCCCTTATATTCGATTAATTATATCACGTGATACGACAGACAATTAGAGACATCGACTTACACAACCAGACTAATGACGCATAAACCTCTACTAGCAGTCTAGAGCTCTTATTGGTCCTCTGAAGTAGTAGCTTCTCTCCTAACTCAGTCACTTTAGTCCAGAACGCCAATATCAGCCTCCGACATACGAATCATATATTTCAGATATACAAGGTTTATATACAAACAAACCAGACCGCATCATAGAAAAGATCCAGCCAGAAAGTGGCTGTGATTGTGAGAGACTGTTACTAATAAAATGGAAACATCTTAAGAATAGTAAATCGCATGATAATATTCAATAGGTCAAATAAAAGGAATATGAATATGTATATAATATAGTTACTTAATAGATACACAATAAGAATATGTGTAATAAAAGTCCACAAATAGATCCTAGCGGTTACTATTTACCTATTCTTCATCCGAATATAATAAAAGGAATTAGCAAGAAAAATACATGAAGGTATAAAAACAACCAATATGATTCAAATGATTTGTACATCACATAATTTGCTTAGTTGTAAACTGTTCAAATAGATGGGGCATTGACGTCAATACATAGCTATTAAAGAATACCTTTTTTTTATTTCTAACAATCCTCTTGACAATAGTTATGTGGTGTGTGGTACTGATGTCGACGGGTGTAAGTAATATGTATCACCAATCGAAAGTGAAATGCCTGTCGGCTGAAGTTGAAGATGATCGAAGAAAAGAGAATGAGAACAGAGAATGATTGCAGTGAGAATGAATGAATAGTGAAGTCCGAAACGGTTGACTGACATTTTGCAAATTAAGTTATTACTGTATGGTTCTTAGATTTTACTAATCTGTTCTGTAATTTTGTACTCAAACACATTCGATTGATCCCCACCTGTATTCTCATTCACTACAGTTATAACTGTTTTTCAAAGATATACAGCACTGTATTATTCTACTTTGATATTCATACCAGTATAACCCATGTATCTATTCGACAGAAGTCAATTCTATCTCATTCATTCATTTATTATATTTTCCTGAATGTTCTAAGATAATTCTATTCATTTATTCGATTGTGAATCTGAATGGATAAAATTTTATCTTACACCCCTTTATTATGTTGAAAACAGTAAAGAAGTAAACATCCAAATAAGTGAAACCATGGGAACTTTAGGAAAAAAGTATTTTAACCTATTATTATCTAATTGATCACTGTTACTATTAGTTAATTTATTAGATTCTACTGCATATATATATACGTACTTGCTTCAAATAATATTGAGTTAAGGGCGGAAACGAATCATTCAATGTAAAAGTTCTATTTCATTATATTCGAGAATTTCCATACTGATTCACAAGTGAATAGAATTAAATAAAGTCGAATAATTCATTACTGGAAGTGTGATAAACTCTATGAACTATTGATTTATATTACAAAATGAGTCTTGATAGTGATTCAGGTAATGATGAAAGCATTTTATAATGTTTTGGTTACATTTAATGAGATAGCATGACTATAATTTATGGACAAATCAATCATGTAAATGATAAGACGTCTTGAATTTTGGCATGAAATTCATTCATCCATTTGGATAAATAGAGTTTTGGCATTCTAACTGATATTAGTTCGTGATGAAAACCCTTAATGTAATTCGTGACCTTAACTATGAACTATAAGTCATACTTCTAATTCCTCACACCCTAATTTGGTCCTGGTTATTAGCTGGACACTCTCAAGGTCAGTCTAGCGTCACTTAAAGATCGTCTATAAATTATAGTCTCACCGTTTATGTAGTTCATGCTTTTCAATAATTAACGTCTCTTATAATTAAAGTTTCGAATGTTTTAAAAATCAGTTATACTCTAAGTATGATAAGCTTATTATGAATCTGGTTATTGAAGTTTTCCTATTAGAAATATAATTACTGATCTATATTGATTGGTGATGGCATTTTGTAACATTTTACAGACTAGTATTACCTTTATTCGCTAAATTTCTTCTCTGGTGTCATGGTCATGAAAACGTTTTTTAATTCATTTGTTTTATTATGTCGTTTTTACCCAATATCATTTCGTAAATCCATAAAATTCGAGATGTATAAACATTGGAATTGACTATTGGTTATGTTCAAATAATCATCAGTGTCATACAACTTCAACATCATAATCGTTTATCCATCCTTGTTATCTGGTATGTGACGAAATCTCAGCACGGATATAGAAGGATCGACTAGCTTCTGCCAACTCACGTCATTTATGATGTAGGCGAGATATCCGTCTACCAAACAAAGGACGGGTGTACTGCGCAGCAGTTCGTTCCGTCCTACTTTATGGCAGTGAAACATGGCCGGCAAGAGTAGAGGATATTCGTAAGTTACCAGTATTCGATCACACGGTGTCTTCGAAGCATTGTGCGTATATCCTGGGGCCACAGAGTAAGTAATGCAGTTATTTGGAAACGGGTACTAGGTAAGGATGGCAAATGAATTGATGAAGTAGTGAAACTTCATTAGTTGAGATGGTTTGGACATGTGTTACGTATACCCAACCACCGACTACCCCAAACAGCGATGTTTTACGGTGTAGGAGTAGGTCGGAAGAAAGATAGAGGTGGTCAAACCAAAACATAGCACAAATCCATCAAGTCACCGACAAGTTGACTGAATCAGCCGTGTTGATAGGTGTAGAGTACCTGGTTGGGATCTGCGAGACGATAGTAACCGATGGTTGGAGACCTTGAATGACATGGCTCAAAATCGTTTGCAATGGTGGGCGCAGATGCATCCTCTCTTTGTGTTCTTCCAAATTCTAATCTTCTCAATTCTTCATGTCCCTTTTTTCTCTTTACAAATTTCTTTCACTGTATCATACTCCTTGAATAACATCTTCAAACCCTAATGTTTCCGGTTACTGTTTGTGCTCTTACTACCTCTACCACTATGGGATTCGTATCGACAATTGTATCAGTGTGCTAATGTGGTATGGCAACTCGTACTGATGTACGTACGTACGAAGTTCTACGTTGTTATTGACTGACTGACTGGCTTGGAAAGTATAAATTCTAAAAATGTCCAACTAGTTATTTCGCTTCTTAACTGATAGTATTGATAAAACTGACTCCAATATGTGGATGATAGATTGTTACAGCTTTCATAATCACAATATGCAGAGTAGTAAACTCATTTTTCAAAATTTATCTACTAAAATCTTGTAAGGAATCTGTACTAAGATCTACTTATTTAACTGTATGTTTACTTTATTCCTCATTACATATATTTGAATTACAGTAACCGAACATCACGTATCTTTAATTTGGTGTTATCGGTTAACAGTGAGCTTTAAAGAGAAACTCTGTTTTTCGATGATATTTTATTTAATAAACTTGCTATCTACTTATAGATGATACTAATCAACAACAGAGAATTGGTCTAGAAGCATACATAGCAGGTATGTGATAATTATTCTTATATTATCTGTAAATACTAACCAAATTAAACTGTATAGCTGAATTACTCACCTATTGAATAACTACGTCTATGTTACTATGGCGATTATTCAATATATAGGATGATGTTAATTTATAGTTCATTTATGAAAGTTAGATAAGTAGTGAATGTCAATTGTTTACTGTAAATTAGTTTGTATTGACTAGTTTTTCATTCTGTTTTTTTTTTGTTATTTGACTAAAATCTAATCAAGAAGTAGGTTAGAGTAGTTTAATTATGAATACGCTCAGTCACTAGTCATTGAATTCAGTAAATTCATATAAAAGGAGGATAACATTTTGCGTTGTCAAGTGAACCAAATATATTTTTAGATTCAATTACACTTTTTGTATGATACTGTAGTCAATGACCCAATCTTAATGATAGCTCAATTTCTACAAACATTATTTCATAATTGTCTTAAATTTCAATAAACTGTCTTGTCAAACACACACATATTGATTCGAGGCAGCGGTTACAACAAACAGAGTAACTTCATCTTTATTATAAATATAGACGACCTAATTTCAATATTTTGGAAACAAATTATTGTCAATTTTCAAAATATCAGATGGGGTCTTTGTGGATATTATAGTTGTTTCAATCGTTGAGATCATTAGTCAATTGAAGCTAGACCACCATAGAACACCTGGAAGCACTGAACTCCTCAACAGTGCGCATTTTTGACCAGTGGAATTCAACCGGGTCTCTTGTGAGATAGTAACTCACTAATGACAGTGGTGGATATGTCGCTCAATTCCGTGGATTAGTTGACGTTAGATATTAACACCGTTGGATGCCAGCTTAGTGGTCTAGTGGTTAAGCGCTTGCCCACGAGACTAATGGGTCCTGGATTCGAATCTCTCGAGGCGAGATCGTGGATGCGCACTTCTGAGGAGTCCCACAATAGCTTCAATAGACTCATAATCTCAACTATTGAAATTTCAAAAATGTAATAAGAAAACGCAATGGACTTCTACCTGAAATTTGTGCTGATGGTGTCGTTCACAAGAACGATCAAAGCTCCACGACTAAACCATCCAGCTCAGAGCACACAACTCCACTAAATCGAACTGTTAAGCTTGACATACTCGTATGATAAAGTTAGAACCATTAGAATGCACATTTACTCATTATGACATTTTATTGGAAAACCAAAAAAGTTCTAATGAATGATTATCAGTAAAAATATACTGAAGATAGATGGCATGATGAAGAAAGAATAAGAAGTCATAAGATAACTTCTAATATTAATATTGATTTTCGGACTACCATAATGGATGAAAATTGAATAAGATTGTTCATACATAAAGTAGACATACATATTTTAACGGCTGAGGTTATCATACAACTAAGAGTGAACCATCTAGGTCAATTTTATAAACAGTTTTATTCATATCCCTTGTGATAAAGGAAGATGGTTGATTACCTGAATTAGTACTTTTGATCTATTTGACCTTTTTAATTTAAATGACTTTTTTGTTTCATTAATTACCATAAAGGTAAATGTACGATCTCATTATTCTAAATTTAATGCTTAAGTTCATCTTATTTACAAAATCAGCTTTCACTTTTCACTCCACTTTCCAATTTATCAATTTGTTACATTTTATTTTTAAATAATCCACAGATACAATATGAATTTTAGTCAGAATTTTGCATCTTCAGGGTTGTAAACTATAAATTTGTTCGGATAGTTTCTCTTTTTAGACCAGTAGCTGATAACACTCAGGTTGAGAAGTACTTACTTACTTACATACGTCTGTTACTCCCAATGGAGCATAGGCCGCCGACCAGCATTCTCCAACCCATGCCCAACTTTCCTCCTTTATTCGGGCTTGGAGGCTCCAGGCGGCGTTCAGGTTGAGAAGTAACGAGTGTCAAATTAATCCATAAAATTGATTATACTTTACCAAATATCAAACTTGGAGTTACTATTTCCCTTTGAGTTTAAAGTTTCTACTTAGTAAGAAAGATGTTTACAGTCTATTCTAATAAAGAACTAACTAACATGTTTCTAGAAATGTTTAAATTTTAACCTGACGATTATAAATCAGAGTAACCTTCAAATTTTAGAATCTTGACATTCTCTGCAATTTATCTGAATGGCTTGTCAAGTTTATGAATTAAGTAAATGGTCTCGAAATTCTCATTAACGATTGATAAGTTTCTTCACATATTCTGTATCAAATCAATAAACAATCAGGGTAAACTGATTCTTACCAGATACTTATATATATATTTATGAAATATCTATAGTATATAGCCTATCTGTTATCATCTTTAAGAGATCTAAAATCTAACACAAATTTCTTGGTGTGGATTTCGGAAACAGATAATTGGACTATTCTATGAATATACCTTAGAAGATGACTTAATTCGTCGAGGTTGTAGAAGGTTGGAAATTAGGATGATTCATCTCATATGTTATTATGTTCAAACTAAAATCCTAAAATATTTGTAGAGAGTGTTCAGCTTAAGATAATCACCTTCCCCAATGGCAAACGGAGAATACTTGAAAACTAACAAGCATTGGACAATCGTTCTATTCTGATACTTCTTGTCAACACTAGGTATTCACTGACCCACATAAAATTGAGTCTAAGACATGTAGGTTTGAATGTAAAAACACGGGACACTCAAAACATTTTGAAGACTAGTCAGTTAGCTTTTATGTAAGACCATAGTTCAGTTCTACCATTGATAGCTAGATTTCACTGGTTCTATAGCGGATTTCAGTTTGTTGTGAAAAAAAGTTTAGATTGAATGATCTCCACAAACTTCATCAACAACTCTTAGATGTCTGCCAACTAAATAGATTGTACAACATAGCTATGGATTTAACCATGTTGTAAGACAAAATACTTGAATTTTAGTAAAAGTGGACTCATCCATTGTCAGTAATGAAGCTGAAGTTTTGTAATATTTATGTAATTAGTACCTAATGTACAATTAATAGATATCGTTAGTTAGTAGCTTCGATAAATAAACATCGAAAAATTTTTGTTGAGAGACATAAATACATATTCTCTTGTGATATGGATACTTTGAGACGTGTATTAAACAATCACTAAATGTTTTTGGAAAGTCACTTCTAAAATTTCAACATGAAGATCGATAGAATAGCAGAAATACTGATACGATATTGTAAGTACAGGGCTGTGGAAATTGTTGATTTTCGTTAAAATCATGAACTGATCAATGTTAAACCATCATTGAAAACTTGGAATCACCGAACGATTGTTTCATTGTAGTATGGGGCTCACTATCAGTGAGCACCCAAGACCCGGCTCATGAGAAAGGAACATAGAACCTTCGGTCTCACTCAAACACTTTACCTCTAGACCACTAGACCAGCATCCAACACGCCTCTTAAGGTTCCCATACTAGAACAAAACAGTTATTAATTGCTTCCAGGTGTTCAGCGATGGTCTAATATTGATTGGTTCATGGTTTCAACGATAAAATATTGTTAAGTGTACACTAATTCTTAGTGATAGATTAGTCAATATTTTCATTTAGGTAAAACAGCATATTTTATCGGGTTATTCTTAACTAACTGCTCAATTAATTCTGTTTTATATTGGGGTTAGCAATCTATGGACAGCATGAAATATTGGACAAACTACTAGAGGAATTCGATGTAAGTTACCAAATCTACTGATGTTTTCGGTATGGAGCGATTTGTTTCATTTTAAAAAACTTCCGATACGATGAAGTCCGACACTCTGAATTAACATTTTACTTATTTTTAGTACATGCATTTACAATAATTCTATGAAGCCTAAGTTGGAATGAATTCATAAATTTGTCTTGCTTGTTGTCTTAAGTAATTTTTGGAACATAACTTGTCTACTTTTATTATTTTAGTAGTTCATTTTAATTTTTCAAAATAAATGTGATGGTTCAGTAAATAAATACCTGAGTACAGTCCTGACAAAAGTTCGATATGCATAAACTTGCTTATCTACTTACAAATGATCGTAAACTTATTAATTTAACTAAGATGTAAAGCATTTGGGAGTGACTTCAGCTAGGAAAGTGTGTTTATTTGGAAATATATTTTAAAAATGAGAAACATTCAACTGCTAGTAACCAGGACCACTGTTGTCAGTATGTTATTGTGAAGATTGTTGAATTTCTTTCAAATCATGATCCTATTTCCACATCCCAGTGACGAGCTTCGCGATGTAGCTTCTGGAGATCTAGTGAAAAGCCGTGACCAGTATAGTTCAGTTTTGTCGGGTATGAGGCAGTTCCCCACTGAAGACACTGGAAGATGGAAATTAACAATGATGCCGTTGGACGTCAGCCCAGCAGTCTTCAGTCTAAGCATTCACTCGACACAGACGGTCCTGGGTTCGAGTCCCACGTGCGGGATCGTGGACATGTGCCGCTGAGGAGTTCCATACTGGGATGAAACAACTGTCCAATGATTCTAGGTGTTCAATAAAGTTCCAACTTAGAAATCATCACCATTGCTGAGAAACAAACAGTCTACTAAATTAAGATAAACCATTCCTTAGTTCCTGAAGTTTTCAAATAACAATAGAAGAAAGTTGCAAGACTAGTTTTTTGCCAACGTTTATTAACACTAGCAAACAGTTTACTAATGGCCACAATGAAAAGGCATTAATTGAAGTCTATTAATGTCAATTCTTCAAAAGTACATATCAGTTAGTTGATAAACAGATTAAGTGTTATAAGTATGAAAAAATAACCAAACCCTTTACAACTTAACTGATATTTATATTCAGAGAGTAGTTTTGTGGATTTTATAGTGAATACGCACTGCTGAGGAGTTACATACTAAGACAAAACGGCCGTCCAGTGCTTCCAGGTTTTCCATGATGGTACAACCTTAATTGACTCATGAATTCAACTATCGAATTGATATTCATATGATCATTTAGCTAAGACATTCACTACAAACGTAGATGAAATCAGAATCTAATAAATGGGTTTGATATAAATAGAACTGAAACTCATTCATTCAGTCAAATAATCATAACTCTTGATTTAATTATCAACTACTATTTATCAGCTTTATTGTTCTTTGTTAATATTAACCAAATGCATTTGTTGTAGTATGAATTATGTTATCGGAAATATTTTAATATTTAGTGTCTTTCAATCAATTAAACTTGATCAGGTAACATTGTATTCAGATGAATTGACTGGAATGATGCCTATACATGCAGCTGCAGCTTGGGGAAATCCAAAATGTTTGGAAGTAAGTTATATTGTTTATACTTCAATTCCTGATAGTCATGTATAATGCTTTTCTACTATACTAACACTTCGAAAAAGTGAGGATTTTACTTTATAGAATGTAGAGTTGTAGTGACCTACCTTTATCAAGAGAACGTGATTGGTTTAATCAAAACAATTATTATCATAACCAATTGTAACAGTGATTGTTTTACTGTACTTGTTTGTTTAACTGTACTAAAGACATTCTTCCTTTCGTTGATTGTGACTTTGCACGGATTCGGTTACGCTCAGTAACCACACTTGTACTCCTTTGGCACGATCTCGGTATTCTTTCGATACCACGAGATCGGCAACAAATACATCTTGCCTACAGCCATCAACTGCCTTCTGATATTTGGCCTACGGGTGATCTTATCGGTTAACTGACACGCAGTCTTCCTTTAGTGTTGATCATAGTCAACCGCACAGGGTGGATCTGATGCAGATGTGAAGGCGCGGATCGGCAAAGCAAGAGCAGCATATTTACAACTGAGGAACATCTGGAACTCAAAGCAACTGTCAACCAACATCAAGGTCAGGATTTTCAATACAAATGTCAAGACAGTTCTACTGTATGGGGCAGAAACCTGGAGAACTACAAAAGCCATCATCCAGAAAATACAGGTGTTTATTAACAGTTGTTTACGCAAAATACTTCAGATCCATTGGCCGGACACTATTAGCAACAACGTACTGTGGGAGAGAACAAACCAGATCCCAGTGGAGGAAGAAATCAGGAAGAAGCGCTGGAAGTGGATAGGACACACATTGAGGAAAGCATCAAACTGCGTCACAAGACAAGCCCTCACATGGAATCCTCAAGGCCAAAGGAGAAGAGGAAGACCAAAGAACACATTACGCCGAGAAATGGAGATAGACATGAGAAAAATGAACAAGAATTGGATGGAACTAGAAAAGAAGGCCCAGGACAGAGTGGGTTGGAGAATGCTGGTCAGCGGCCTATGCTCCATTGGGAGTAACAGGCGTAAGTAAGTAAGTAAGTAATAGTCAACCGCGACTCGATGCCATACAACAGAGTAATAAACTTGCTTGACACAAACAGATTTCGTATTTGTTTCACAGAACTAAACAGAGTAGTTTAATACTTCCGAATCATATAGATTTAGGTTGAATACAATTAGCTGGAATATTACTGAAATGAGAGAGATAATGAATTTGGAAGGAAGTTGAGTAAAGATCTATCCAAATTATAAAACAATTTTTCAGTAGTAAATGAGTAATATAATTAGTGGGATCAATCTAGTCAGTTCTTTCTTCTTTTTGTTTTCTTCAGATCTATTCAGAAAACTGTTCATGTAATTAGATCTCTAGAATCTTTTACATTAACGTACTCACAAATCGTTATTCTTAACATTTTTAGACCACAAAGTGTTTGATGTACTTCATTTTGATTCTGAATGTTTTAAGAACAAAGCGAAAAAATTTTGATTGCTTTACAGTTCCTATAACAATATTCAATTGTTTATACAACTAAGGTAACTCTTGAAGGTGGCAGCATAGAAACAATAATTTCTCATAGAACAACATACAATATTTAACTTTCATGAAATGATAATTTCACTTTTTGATTTTAAGCTTTTTATCTCTTTCACATTTTTGGTTTTGAATGTTGATAAGTCTTGTCGACTGAACGCTATATTCGTTCCTAAGCTATTCTGATAACCCGCACGCTAGAACTATACAGCGACCTGAACACCAGAAAGAAGACGCAAAGTATGAGAGAGACACTTTACTCCAAGGTTCGTTTTTGTACAGAAAACATGGGTATTTATAGATGTTAACGTTTGTTAAATCAACATCATATTTCGGCCAATCCGTTAACGACATATTATGCTACTGACTAATAGTAGCACGCCACGTTTGAATGCTAGAATGCTCCATCATGCTCTGATTGGCTAGGACTCTTCGGCTCCTTTTGGGCCTCTGGAGGCTCCGTTGAAGTTCTCCGAAAGCCGACTCAACAGTTGTATTGTCACCAAGTTTAACAATTTGATTGAATCATACAGGTTTTCACAAATCGGTATATAGACTTTTCAGATATAGTCATCCCTAAGATTATATCCACAACGTGACTTTAGCGAGTCATAGTTATTAAAATGTCACTTGTTATTGTCTGTATGAATTTTCACTTAGAATTATTAATACACTTTACTGACTATCTGTTATATGTTGTAGTATTGTGCTCCTATCAATTAGAGAACAGTGAATTATCGACCGGACCAACGACGCATAAACCCGTACGAACAGTCTAGAGTCATTATCGATCCTTCTTACTGCCTAGCCCAGCCAGTTAAGTCCAGAACACCAATCTCAGCCTCTGCAATATGAATCATTTATGTCAAGCATACTGGGTTTATATACCAATCAAACAGACCACATCTTACCATAAAAGGGAAAATAAGATTTGTACAAGAATTAGCCAAATGTGGCTATGAATATGAGCGATAGTAATTGATAGACAAGGGATAACGCAAGAATGGTAAATCGTATAATAATAGTTTATAGGTCAAAATAAAGCTTGTAATAGGAGGAACATGAATATAGATAGGTTACTTGCTTACCAATTATACAATAAAAATTTGTGTATCGTATTTGTCCATCACTAGTTCTCAAAAGTTACCACTCACTATTCTCGTCGTGATATAACACTATCCAGTGAAATTTTGACTGGTTTTTTTTTCAAGTTAGTTTACATATATGTTTTAAGAATGAAATGAATACTTACCTATTCGATGAACTGTATTTTAGAAGGACTATTCACCATGGAATAGGACTTCAAAAGGAATTCCTTAGCTTTATAGGAAATATCATATCTTGTTTCAAGTTTCATTATATATTCCATATTTTCAGGTTACTTTACGGACTAGTTTGTTGAGTTGTCAAAATGCCACTAGTAAAATATATGTAAAGATTCTGTTCTTCACAGAGTTGTGTGATTGATCGTAATATCATGTTCATTCATTGTAATTGGAAATGAAATCTTAAACTTTGCCAATCATTTCTCCTTAACAATGAACGTGTGAACAATAATAAATTCTTGTTTAAAATCAATGAATTAGTTTACATTTAACTTTTCATCTTTTCATTTATTACATACATGATTCAATACTTTAAAAGTATTTTACCACTTTCTACTCCCATATATTGAGGTACTTGTTCGACATGGCTGTAATGTGAATCAACTGGACTCGATGAACTGTTCACCTGTTCATCATGCAGCAAGAAATGGACATAATGGTAAGATAATATGTCAGTTTGATAATGAAATGTGTAGATATTCATTTAAGGATTATTATTAATCTGTTATAGGTAACATGAGCAATAGTTTTTGTTTTCTGGGTAGGTGGGTAGTGGATATGAAAAGATCATCTAGATGATCAGCCAGATAATGAGCAAACAAGGACATTTTAATTTAGATTATATGTATGTATTTATATTCAAAACCTAGATATTCTTAGTAAAATAGCTGTTTTCTTTATTATTATTTTTATTATCAGAAGCTTTATTCAACATTATATTTTTGGTACAACATAGAATTCTCAGCATAAAGTATTTCAACAAGTTTCCTTTTCTTATACCTTGATCTATTGTGACGATAAATTTTGAATGATGACCGGTTAGATGTTAGGAGTTCGGTAATCCACATTTGATTAATGTTCATTCGTTTCAATGCATATTGCCAGCCACCATGATGTCGCTGATTGTACCTTTTTGTATCACGTATAGCGAAAGGTGGTAAACTTTTCATAAACGCGTCTGAATAAATTGTGCGCACAATAGACATAATGATGTGCTAAAACAAACAAAAAAACAGATAACTTGATGAAATATCTAGATCTGAGGAACAGGTAGCCCAGATATTCAAGCAGGCCGTAACGAACTGAAACCATCAGAAAGATATAAACCATTTTTTTAAAATAAAAAGGTATAATCTAAGTTTGAACAATCACTCTCTTTATTTTCAATTTGTTCACAATGTATACATATTCTTCTGTTTGTTTTCGCAATAAATCTTGGTTATGTGTAACCAATTAACAGTTTTCAGTATCCAATGAATCCATGGTGACTCTAATATCTTGTTGTTCTAATCGAGTTGATGAAACTTTAGAATAATTTTCAGTAATAACACCAAAATAACTCTAGTCACAATATGAACTTTACAAATACATCAGAGAATCTGTACTGTTTACTGTGAATGAAGTATGGTGATGGTGTCCACTGGATAGATTTGACGAGCACTACAACACTATATAGAAACGTGTGACCTAAATAATGGACACTGCACAATGTGATTGCAAGTACTTTAAATCCTTATAAATCCTCATGCTTGATATTACATAACAGATTTATTAAATTATGGTGCTAAGGTTTTCAATTCAAGCATAATCGTTTACACACTCTTCTTCCACTTATAAAGTGTGCGTAATGTTTATTTGAAGTAGGGACGGTAACTTGTATTAAATTTATCATATTTCCTTACAAATTAAGTGATGTACGAAGAATAGTAGTATCATCAGGACAAATAGGTTCACATGAAATCATATTTCATTTATACAATTGATTGCTCTCAATAAAAATAATTTCATAACTCGAAATAGTTGTTCGAGAGAAATTTTATGTTCATCATGTTAGATCAGATGTCAGTCTATTTGAACTAACTTTTTATTGATCATAATTGTCTAATGAATCAGACATTTTCTACGATAGATAAAACTCATGAGTGAGTTAAACAGGACTTAATTACTATGTTATATCCTGAACTAAATTTATATACTTCACAAAGTGAAAGTTTTTAATTGATCTTTGTGGAGTTAGGTGATAGTTTCACATTAAGCTGCAAACGTCTTGCTCAATTCTTTATGATTTTATAGATGAATTCATGAGACAACTAAAGTTAGACCACCATGTACCAATAGGTCCTTGGTCCAAATTCTCACAGACGGTCCTGGGTTCGAGTCCTACGTGCGGGATCGTGGACATGCGCTGCTGAGGAGTTCCATACTGAGACGAAACAACTGTCCAGTGATTCTAGGAGTTCAATAAAGGTCTAACTTAGAAATTATCAACATTGCTGAGAAACAAACAGTCTACTAATTTGAAATAAACCATTCCTTAGTTCCTGAAGTTTTCAAATAACAATCGAAGAGAGTTGCAAGACTAGTCTTTTGCCAACGTTTATTAACACTGACAAAGAGTTTGCTAATAGTCACAATGAAAAGGCATTAAAAGACTAGTCTTTTAATATGACGGGGATCTTTAAACGATGAAAAGGCATTAATTGAAGTCTATTAATGTCACTTCATTAAGATTACATATCAGCTAGTTGATAAACAGATTAAGTGTTATAAATATGAAAAAATAACCAAACCCTTTACAACTTAACTTATATTTATATTCAGAGAGTAGTTTTGTGGATTTTATAGTGAATACGCACTGCTGAAGAGTATCATAGTAGAACGAAACGGCCGTCCAGTGCTTCGAGGTTTTCCATGATGGTATAACCTTAATTGACTCATGAACTCAACTATTAAATTACTATAATATCCACAAAACCCCTTTCTGATTAGAATTCTTTATAAGACTAAATTCGACCTGTTCGTATAAGCATTGGTTTGATGTGATTATTGCTGTAAAATATCCCATTATTTGCTCATATTCTTTACTATGTTCGACTTATCTAGTCTAATTCGTTCATAATTTTCAGAAACGGTAGAATGGCTTATGAAGAATGGAGCAAGTCTTGTGGAATTAAATCTTTTTGGTCAGAAACCAGCAGATTTAGCTTTAGCTAATAATTTCCCTGATTTGGCAGATGTAATTCGTAGAGAAGGTTAGGTCATTTTTTACATTATATTAAAATGATTAATTCGTGTTATTCATACAACGTTCGTTTTTTACCTTTTACTTACTTACGCCTGTAACCTCCAGTGAAGCGTAGGCCATCGACCAGTATTCTTCAAACCACTCTATCATGGGTCTTCCTTTCCAGTTCTATTCAATTGTTGTTTATTCTTCTTATGTCCACCTCTATTTCTCGGCGTAATGTGTTTTTTGATCTTCTTTTTCCCCTTTGGCGTTGAGGATTCCAAGTGAAGGCTTGCCTTGTGACACCGTTGGGTGTTTTCCTTAATGTCATATCCACTTCCACCACTTCTTCCTGATTTCTTCCTCCGCTGGAATCTGGTTTGTGCTCTCCCACATTAAGTTGTCGCTGATAGTGTTTTGTCAACTTCTATGCTATACACATCGATAGTCGATAATATTAAAAAACAATTGTGCTATTTATTAAGTTCTTATCACAACTCTTCAATCATGTCGGTTATCACGGTTAACACAACACGATGTTTTAGCTATTTGAATGTTGAAAAATAAGGATTCAAGGATATAGAATGAGATTTTCCAATGAAACGAATGTTCAACATTCCACGAAATATTATGTCGACAATATAATTTAAATTAGTTAAGGAACCCTAACCTCTGTGTAGTTTAAGCATTAAACTACATAAACTATTTACATTCATATTATCAAATGAAATCATATTTCGTGTTTACATCAAAATCTCTTTCAATCATTCTAGAACTTTTACCTAAAAATATTAAGCGAACTATGGAACCATATTCTTCTTTTAAAATGATACAAGCTGAATGGATGCATTCAAAAACATTCAGCATGTAATTTAAAAAAAACACTAAATATCAATGTATAGCAAACATTGACAGTATCTGTAGACCCAGTTCCTCTTTACAGTAACCTACAAAAATAGATTTAGATAATTCTGTTAGCAGAATTAAAATGATTCAATGGTCATTGTTCATTCTCTTCACAAACTTCTGTATTATGATTGTTAAGTTTGTCTTACATTGTTCCTACTCTCTTCTTTTCCACTCTTTTGTATATTGTTTTATACTACTTATTTACATTCAGTAAGCAGTTGTATTCTCAACAATTTTCAAACCTATGTTGTGACGCAAGTTGTAGTGTAATATTCTGAAATGTCCACATATACTTATAACGTTTATTGTACTTATCATTGTATTTATCATTATAATCGCTGTACCTTAACCGCTGTAGCGGTTTCACATAGTTTTGTGCATTTGTTTAAACGCAACAGTTTCCATATTGTTTTGCTCTTCGTTCGGGTTTCGATTGTTCATAAAGTGTTAACAAATTTAGACACAGCTATTAGCTGTCCTTTGTACTATCGTATGTTGTAATTATTCTTTGTGTTACTGTTGCAGAAAGCCTTTTTATTTCACGCATGGAAGACGCGTTTAAACGCCCCAGACACCTCAAGAGTTGAGGTTTGTAACTAAATTTTGTGTATTATTCAATAAATAACCGCTTTTGTAGACAAATCGTTGTTTTGGAACTTCGGTTTCGCGCGTATCTCAGTCGGGTGACCTAGAAACTTCGATAGACCTAACAATGATGTGGTTATTTTTATCAAAGATTAATTTACTATCCACAACTAATTATACATTAGGGGAATGACAAAGTCCAAATTTCACTTAGGATATAATCAAGTACAGAAAAGAATAGATGAAGAAAGGAAAAAAACCATATTGAAGCGTGAAACTGTAGATATCGTCACTACTGAAGATTCGGACAATATTCTCGTTTACTCTTTCAATGACTATTTTACAATTATACTGTAAGCTAATGTATGCAACATAATCTATGTCTCGTGAGATACGGGTTTATGTTTGTGGCGGTGGTGGTAGTGGGGGTGGTATGAGTAAATTACTGCTAAAAATGAATAATCAATATAAAGTTGTCATGATTTATGTTGGGGACGTTAGATCCCCAGAACTCACTTAAGAAAGGACCGAATTTTGTAATTTAATTAGAAAATTTGAATTTGTTTTCGCGCCAAAGGCGCTCTTGTCACCTTCATGTCGTATTTCCCACTGGGAACTACCCTAAGTGCTATTGGTCCGTTGTGTCCTTTAGTATGCTATTTGGTAACTCTCCATAAGGACGGTTTTGTGCTGTATATATACGTTTTGATTTGTGTTTGCTGTTATCGCTCTTTTCTGGCTGTTTGCGGAATACACTTCCCCATTCCAAGCTTGGACTTCTCCCTCTAGTTAGCGGGGCTGGGACGCATCAATAGCTAGCTTACTGGTCCTTGGTCACCGAGTCTTGTTCTCGTTCGCCGATTAAGTGAACTCGTGATAGCTTCAAACCTAGAAAGCCTATCGATTCTTTGAATCCTTGATTCTTCGTTCCGTTCCGAGTAAGACAAGCATTCAAGTTAAAGAACATAACAATTTATAAAATACTATAATCACAATGATATTTCAATAATATAAAGACATCTAGATTCAAATCTGATCTTATTCAGTGAGTTCTTTCAACTTCCAATCAGTTATCTAATGACATATTTACATGTTTTACACTACAATAAATAACTTTTAATATTGAATTTCTCTTTAATTCTCTCCGTATTTCTATTGTTGTTGTTTTTTTAATTTTCCCTAACAGCAAAAAAACAACTAAAAGAATTGGAATCAAAACCACTACATCCAAGTGATTCCATTGAATTATTATAAAAAGAAAACTGAAGATCATTGATTCATCTCATAACATTTCAAAATGAATTCCAATGTTGAATATAATACTATGATTCATTAAATAAAACAAATTTATAACATTGCACAAATATTATAGAAAAACTGTGCTTTTACTAGAAGTTTTTTGAACTTACTAACGATTTGATTGGTCCCACCCCCCGGTCTCTCACATTTTCCGGATATTTCATGTACCTAACTTAATTGTTGCTCTAGTTGTTAGAAGAGGCATCGACCTCATAGCTTCCGAAAAATCTCGGCTTTGATAATGAGACATAACAATTTTTCTGATTAAAGATCCTTCAACTCTGAGGTCACAGTTAAAATGGTTTAATTTGTCTATTTTAATTAGCGATCGTTCAGTAATATTATTTTCTACGGGATGGGGTTGCTGAATTCATACCCAACTCTACTCCTTTATCCGGGCTTGGGACTGGAATTAACCCTAGAAGAGCTACAGGCGGAGTTAGAACTTTTTGAAGATTATCTCAAGAATATCTGCGCAATCGAACAAAACTTTGGGTATAGAAATGAAATGATGACTTTCCCATAGTTGATATAAAACTATACTCTTGATTAGCTTGAATAAAGATCTTGAATATATGGCCTCATGTAACGTTCAATAATTTATAAACTAAATTCTTATGGTATAACTTTAGGCTATCCAAGTGTTTTATATGTAGATTTAAAAATGACACGATTTGAAAATGTTTGTATTTTTATTGTCTACACTGAAATCTTCTAGAATAGATCAACAATAAATTGGGGATCGATATATGCCTTATGTTTGCATTAGATCCATAAACTCTGAACTGAAAGTAAGATCCATCTTGTTTACTCTGGAAAGTTACATAGAAAAATTAACTTCGTCTTAACACTAATTGATATTTGTCCGAATAAAAACGTCGACTTAGTTCACTTTTAATGATGAAAAAATCCTCTATTGGAAAATGATCCAAGGATGAAATGTTTTGTTAGAAACAAAATGGTGATCAAGTGAAACGAATGCTTCAGTGGTTAATTTGTATGTATACAAGAGACTTGATTTCCTCTTCTCAAGGATTTACATAGACCTTATTGCTGGGCTCAAATTACCTAACACACAATAAATGAAGTTGAAACTTTACGCCATGTATCTACTAAGCCATTAAACCCAGATTTTTGCAGAAATAAAACGTCTAGATATTTTAACACTATTTTCTTACTAAAAAATTAACCCACTCAGTGAACAATCAATTGTAAATACATCTAAGTCCTACAGAAAGTCAGTCGTGGTCCGGATAGCTCAGTGGTAACGTATCTGACTGTGAAGCTGGGTGACACGGGATCGACTACATCAGGGTGCGTCAGTTCCCTGAGGTAAACTTTGCTGACGAGTGTCAATATTATATGACTTTATATTTTATGTTCCATATTTGATATTGCTCTAGTAAATTTAACAGAAAAGTGACACTCAAAAACTTCAGTACACTGAACTCCGACAGTAATGCATACAATAATTTAGAAACCCATTTATTCAATTAATAATAATAATAATTTTGGTATCCTATTCATCATAAATAAACAAGTAACGTTATTGAATCCGTTATGTGAGTGCCCTTTTAAAAGATGCTTTAGACGCTGGTGGCTTTCTTGATGACATTATCATTAAGAGAAAGACTATGTACCCTTTCAGAGTAGATTCCCTAGTTACCAATAATTGGTTAAACGTTAGCGTCCGAAAGTTGATAAACAAAACTCAAGAGATTTAATTTCGTTTAATTTTCTACTAGTTCTTTTTATTGACATAATAATTTAGCAACTGTCTCTAGTCAAATTAAGAAATAAAAATTTCAGTATGGCCTTCAAAGTTTTTGGCGTTGGTGTTTCCTCTCAGCTAGATAGTTTGATACCAGCGATTTAATTGTCATTCTAGGAAACGGTTTTTGTGTTTAACTTTACATGAAATCGGCATGAAAGTTGTTATTCAGAATGACATTGAACTTTCAGCAATTAAATAATCTAGTTAAGAAAACATAATTCCACCACAAGTACCCATCAGAGCTGCAAATCTACATTAATTCATTTCTTAAGGTGCTGGATTTCCATACGGGAAATTAATCACATGTTCATATACATTTATAAATTCCTATTAGTATTGAGTTGTGGATATTATTACGTTCTTGATTGAGACCGTGAACCGGTTGGTTTTAGACCACAACTGAAAACCTGAAAGCACTGGACGGCCGTCTCGTTCTATTGTGGGTCCCCCCAGCTGTGTGCATCCACGATCGCGGTTGTGGAATTCGAACCTACGGCCTTCCGTCTCGCGCGCGAACGCTTAACCTACTAGACCACTGAGTCGGCATCCAATGGTGTTAATGTCTAATCTCAACCAACCCACGAAATTGCGCGACCAGTTTCAATTGTACTGAGGTAGATATCTGTCTCTACCCGACATAGATTAGCTCCACTGATCACCGCTTCTCACTAGAACTCCGATAATTCCTTCACGAAGCTAGTCACTAGTGAGCACATGGTAATTATCAATATTGGGTTGTAGAGATTATTAAGTTTTTGATTGAGATCATGAACCGATTGTTATAAACAATGAGATGACGTTCGTTTTGAGTTGGTTTCTTGCAAACGCTTCCCTCATCTCAAAATTCCATCTAACTGATTAACAAGAAAATCATTTCGTTCAACTAATGAAACTGGAACACTTCAATTGACTTCTTATTAAACAAATACTGAATACTCAATATTTCTATGGGTTATATTTAACCGAGTTCTATGTATGTGGTCTAAAGTACTACACTGGGTATAAAATTGTATTTTATTCATTATCGGACATAATCTAAACACTAAAACTTGGCCAAACATAAAGTTTCATGCTTATGCACATGAAGAAAGATCCCTCAAAATTATTCTCATTTATTTATAAATCATATTTTACACTTTACTACTATCATTAGTTTAAGTAGAAACCTGAGAAAAGATAAAAAAATTGCACACCTGAAAAGTAATATGAATATGATTTTCCATTTTGGTTACTACAGACACTAAATACATAATTATTAGACAAAACAAGAACATGAAAACAAAATTTTGGTAATGTAAACAAACTATTTATTTATTCATTTTTATCCAAGGTCAAGTTGATTCAAGTGACATAATGAAATTAGAAATAAATAAAAATGAAACATTAAAACATGTGAATTATGGTAATAATGAATAATTAATAATTAGAATCATGTTTAAGGTATGGAATAAGAAGAAGAAGAAGAAGACAAAGAATAAGAATAAGACGAAGAAGAACTGACTAGTTCAACTGAGGTCATCATGAATCAAAAGAACAACAATAAAAAGGTTTAATGATGTCATAAAAATAGTCTACTAAACTTCAAAATATTTGCCTCGAGAAATTCTCTTTTTCTTTCTTCTTCTTCTACAAATGGAATAATTTAGGCGTATACATGAGACCGCAGACAAAACATAACTTATGGACAAAGGACATGAAGTGTTATGTCAACAACCGCCCCCCCCACAACAGCAACAACAACAAAAACTATTTGTTTTATCACCATGATCACGTTAAATGTAAACATTTCACCTCACTATTTTTGTTTTTCTAAAAATATTAAACTATATAAATAAACTAATTAGAAAATAATGTTTTATTCAGAAGTTGGTATACCACAGTTTCTATAATTGAAACAACTGGTAATTCAGTCTATAAAATAAATTTATTAAGTCAGTATTTCGATTCCATATTCCTGATACATGCATGAATTATAACTCTGTTAGATTTAATGATGTAGGGTAAAGAAAAACAAACATTTCATAGAAGTAATCTAATGGCTTTGTAAACGAATGGATAATAATGAGTTGAACTTACTGAATTTATAATTGACGAATCCAATTTTTGGATTTGTTGAATTACAAGTTCATATTCTTCAAGATTTTGTTAACTTTGTTATTTACAGTGGGAACTTTTATTAAAAAGAAATAAGTGATGTATTAGATGATTGTATTCTGTCTTTTCTAAACACATGAATATGACAACATGCATAGACTTTAACCCTAAACCTAACACTGATGAGTTCAACAAAGCAACTTATTTTAGTCAAATCTGATGCTTGTTGAACAAAATAGATAAAACAAATATGGTTTATTCTTAACATACTAGTTACTGATGAAGAGGAACTAATCATCCGTTTATGATTTGTGATACTCTATCAGTATGTAAAAACGAACCCAGATATCAGCGAATTTACAATTGAGTTTAATGTAAAGAATATAGAAATCTAGAGTTTTCCAGTATTCATTTGTACTTGTGTACAAATGTCGATCAATTGTTGATTGATAAATCCAATTTTCTTTTAAAAGTATTTTATAGTTTTATCATTCAATACTGTCCGAAAGTTAATTTCGTCAAAAAATTGATGACATCTAAAAAATCGTTGAAAATAATAAATTCCTGGACAGTTGTGTTAGAAGTTTACGTTTATTGGCTGAAGTTAGACATTCACACTGTTGGATGCCGACTCAGTGATCTAGATGTTAAGTGCTCGCGCGCGAGACCGAAGATCTTAGGTTCGTGGATATGCACTGATGAAGAGTCCCATACTAGGATGAAATGGTCATCCAGTGCTTTCACGTTTTCCATAGTGGTCTAGCATTAATTGACTTATGAACTCAACTATTAAATTTACATGTTTCAAACGAGACCATTTTAACTAATCATGATCAAACACATAAAAAGTATTCTGCTAAGAATGGTAGTTTTGATTAGCATACCACGGAAACTTGTAAATAAAGTGTTAAAAATGATAATGGAATATTGAAATTTCCTTTAAAATGCATTGGTAATGTATTATGAATGGTCTATAGAAATAAAGAAACTGTGGAGGCCCGTAGTTTGATTTTGTCTTCATTTAGATCGACGATATTCGTTGAAGGGCTCACCATTTCAGTGGCCCGTGGATCTGACTCCTATTTAGATCGTGTTAGGTAGTCGGAAAAATAGACCAATAATTATGATGTTAAGTCCAATGGTGTCCTTGGCCTTTAAATGGACATTTCCTATTGGTCGATATCTGTTCACTTGTTGAATATT